TTCAGTACATGGTTATTTATGGTTATGCTCACCACCAAGTGATCTGCAAAATGGGTGTTAGAAATTAACCACCGGGTTTCTACACCTACTTAAATTTTTTGTTAGAAAGACCTTCGAGTTAATTACATGTGCAATTATAATTGATCAAACACTAGGACAAGGAGATACGTGTATAAACACCTTTCATTTTGTGGCCTAAATTAACAGTTTTCGTAAACACGCAATATAGATGAGGTTTCATAAACTTGACATCGACATTATAGCAAGCCTGCATTGCTACGCAGCAACGGAGGTCTCTTTTAGCACGAATGGCCCTAACCTGTTAATATGCATGGTAAGAAACCTAGAATAACCACACCTACAGAATCCTCAGTCTTCTCGTCCACAACATTCATAGCAACTAGTTTTATATAAGGCCTATCATTTTCCTAGCCAAGCTTCTTAATTAATCAATATGAAAGTAGACACTTAGATCACGCACGTATAATTACCGTAGAAAATTACTAAACAAACACTTGGAGTTGAAAGCGAATAATAAAAGACACTTTAACTTCTCGTGTACGTTAACACTGGATGAATTTCAACAATAAAGTTATCGTATAGTTTTCATAAATTGAATGTGAATAAAACATGACTTGTCATTATGTAAATTCGACTATCAGAATATGTATTAAGCGCTTTTCTTGCGTCAACAACATACGTATAAACACTACGAATGTGATACAAGAAATGCGAAACTTTCATAGGTTGTGAAAAATGGAGTCTAAAAGTGTTGCTTTTATGAGAGATATTATTTTAAACCTACAAACACCAATGATGTATTAACACACATAAAACAGTTCGGCTAAACAATAACAAAAGATAGAGAATGAATGTCCGAGTAAGCACTCAAGAGGAAGAGAAAAGTATTTTGCAAATTATCGATTCCTAGCTATCTTTGGAATACACATCTTGGAATTATTGTTTTATAATGGCGATGTAAATATTCACTACGTTTTAAAGCATATGTTTTTGTATTTAGGAAAGATTTTTAACAGTGTAGTTTTTATAGCTGGTTCAATGTGTCTAATGCCTTACTGCGATGCTACTTCTTTATTCCTACTCTTGCATTAAAAAAACTAGATAATTGTTTCTACACATTTTAAATGTTTAACAAACAAAACTTAAACTACTTACCGCGGGGAATCGAGCCCTAGATTTTAGCGTTATAAATTCTCAAATTTATCGCTACACACCGGTAGAGAAATATTTTTCCGAAATGAGATCAATTCGTATATATTCATTCATTATTATCTCTATCTATTCATTTATGAAACATATGAAATACATATTTAAAAATCGAGACTTCAGATTTCTTAGCCAACTAGCTTACGATAAAAATTCAGTAATTAAATACTATTTTTATATGATCAAAAACTCTTTATTAAAAATGCTGTTCACAGTGAGAGATTACAACGTATTTCATGGTGGTATTCGAGGGCGAAGCAACGCATTAACTTTATTGGAACTCGATAGACATCGCGTTTTGTTTTTTGTTCTTTTTTTTGTAAAATATTATCTATCACGGATATACGGCATATTCAGGCAAACTTATATTTTAGCAAAAGCTATTTGATCTATCTTGATCAAAATCGACCAGCAACACCTCTGCGTTTTCTTTACACAAAATATAATATATAAAAAAATTCAGAATTGCTCTCAACAGAAATATGTGTTTTTGAAAAGTTCGATTTTCTGGAAGACGGTCACAAAGTTATGGATCTTTCGAATAAAAAAAAATTACTCAGTAGAACTGGATAAAAAATACTCTGTATTTAGGGATAACTAAAACTGTCATTTGCTTTTGACATATAACTTCACCTTATTAATTTCTTAACATTTCCTCTTTTCACGAAATTAAGGAAGTACTGGTGTAGTACTGCATAAAGGGATCAAGCACTCGTGTAATATTGCATCAAGGGATCAAGCACTCGTGTAATATTGCTTAAAGGGATCAAGCACTCGTGTAATATTGCAT